AGGGCAATCATATGTACATTTCGAAAATCTAAACGTAATGCCTTTTAATTTGAGTGATTCCTTGCACGTGTATGACAGTTTTCATGTAGATCCATGAAACCAGTCTTGAGACCCCCACAACTCTTCTGACCCCCATATGAGGACTGAAATATGAAAATCTCTGAATTTTGAATGTACGTTATTATTTCGAGCTGTTCCTCTTGTATTAAAACTAATTTTCAGATAAATTAATTCGGCTTAAGCCTGAGAACCCCAAGAAAATCACTGACTCCAAACTTTTAAGAGACCTCTCACAATTCTTATGAAAAGTATTTTCGTCTTTGTTCTGTGGGGGGGGGGGGGGCAACGACCATAATTCAAAATTTCAAATGGGAGGAATTCAAAAATAAAATAAAACATAGATACATACATAAGTAAAACTGCGAACTACCATATAAAATAAATAAATATCTTTTACATGAAACATTGGAAGATCTCGAAACTTGAGAAAGAGTTTTGTTTCATTTGTACGTGTGAAAAGAGAACCAATACCTATCACCTAAGAAGAAACGGTGAGGTCACTCAAAAATACCCTTCACAATCGTCATCATTAAAGATGGTTCTTTCATGCAAGCAGCTCTATTAAAATGTTGAATTACAATATGTAACATGTGCAGGTGAAGAACATTAAATTTTTACTTCAACTCTGTTACCTTCAGGTGCGTATCAAAGGTTCAACAACTTGAGAAAAATAAATCCTGAGTTAACCACCATTTTGGCCATTGGCGGTTGGAATGAGGGATCAGTCAAATATTCCAATATGGCAAGGGATCCAGCCAAAAGAAAAATATTTATCGATAGCTGTGTGGAGTTTCTTCTTCATAACGGCTTCGATGGATTAGACATGGATTGGGAATATCCTGCTAACAGAGGTGGAAGACCAGAGGACAAACAGGATTTTGTCACGCTGTTGAAGGTAGTATTTGTGTTTGATATGTCTTTAGTTCCTCCTCCAAATAAAATTCTATGTCCTATAAAAGACATTTACATGATAGTGTTAAGTGCTACTAATGGTTAGCATGCCTGACTGTAGGTCTGCAAGGTCTAATGATCGCGTCTAGTTACCACAAAACAAAACTCTTTCCGTACTTTGCGGCCATGGGTCCTTTATGGGTGACAGTCAAATCCCAGTATTCGGTCAGACAAGATTTGACGATGGATACTGCAAGCTAGCTGCTTTTTCTCCGGTCTGTCAGTTCAGGCCCGGCATGGTTAGAACGCTCGACT